AGACAGGTCCTTGGCATGCCCTGTTTTGGTCCCAATATTTCTGCTGCTGCTATTGGGGAAAACCTCTGGTAACATGTGGCTGATGTTCTGCTAGATACCTTTATGGTGAAACAGGTCTTCTGCTTCGTCTGGCTCTTCATTCCCTATTCTGGCAAGCATAGGATTGCTTTCTAGGAGTCAGTGCACACATTATTGGGAACATCTCTTGGACTCTCCTTTTCTTTTTTTTAGTAATGTTTTTAAATTGATGTTTTATGTGTTTAGATATATTTATGGTTTTAATGTTTTGTGTGAGTCACCCAGAGTTCCCCCATTGGGGGCAGATGGGCGGGGGAGAAATTTAATAAATAGATAAATAAATAAATAAATAAATAAATGACTGATTTCAGATTTTTCAAAATAACTACATTGCTGAAAATATATACAGGAATGTTCAGTCACAGGGAACCCTCAGTTTACCTCTGCTTTGTTCCCAGAGACACATCCCTGAATATACAGGCTGGCAACATGAAGCACTATGGTCCTGAGTGAAACTTTAGGGGACTGTTTAAAAGAAGCTGCATGACTGTTCTTATGTTATTAACTGCCTTGACCTTCTTCTGAACCCTTTGAGTTAATATTTGTAAAGGAAGCAACTTTAATATTAAGGGTGGGGTTGTCAGTGGCTGGGATCACATAATGACATTTTTAACCACTTTTTCTTGAATAAGCCATAGTGATTGGATTTGCACATTCTGCTAAGCCATAATCCCTGGTTAGTGGCTGGGTTCACACACACTACATTAAATTAAAGCCAAACAAGCCACATTATGGCATTGTGCAATGGGTAGTTTTTATAAGTGCTCAACTAATCTTATAAACACATATAATATTCAACACCTTTGATCTGATTACTGAAATTATGGGAAAAAGTCAAGTTACACAATGCTGAACTGCATGAATATTCAGTCGAGGTTTCTTCAATTTGGCACTTTCCAGATGAATTCCCAGACTGCACCACTGAGATTTGCCATCTCAACACATCCAAAGGACATCAGGTGGGGGAAGACTGACTTAATCTAATTTAGAAAGGGTGTTCTTATACAATCAGAATATTTCTCTCTCATGCTCACACTGTGGTATGTGGTATGTTCCAGAAGAGATAGTTAAATTTTAGGGATAATATCATGAAATAGAAAGTATGTCCTAAAGTCTTGCTGTTTCTACTGCAAGAACCATTTCATAAGGCTGAGGTTTAGTTCAGTTGGAAATCCTTTCCAAATAGGAAGTGGTGGTGGAAGAAACTGTATCACTTGAGTAATGCAAAACCAGACAAAGCAGCAGAGCCAAGTCTGTTGCAAAGGATAATTTTGCTTGGTCATATGATATAGATTGGCTCAAGATCTCCACAGCATTTCCCCTTATCTTTGCTTCTCTGTTTCTATGTATATTGGACCCCTGTCTAGACTTTTAACAGAAAAAGAACAAATCACTAACATGGGATTGCTGTAAGAACAAAATGAGTAAAGCTGCTGGTCCTATTGCATTGGTTTTAAAATGTGCTTTTAACAGTCACGGGAGTAGCCAAGCACAGATTAGGACATAATTATTTTGTACAAAGTGGGCAAAAGAGCAAAGCGCATCACACAGGACACTAGACAAAATACAATTTTATGGAAAGTTGGATTTATATGAGCTTAGGTAATAGTATTTGGCAAAAGTCATGCT